TGAAGTTAAAGTGGTCAGGAAAATGTGGTATTAGAGGAAGAATGGCAATACAGACCTAATTGAGAGTATGGAACACAAAGTCCAGAAATAGATCCAGTCACTCCTCATCCATTGATTTTTAAGAAAAGTGCAAAGGAAATTCATAGAAAAGAGTCTTAAACTTAAAGACAAGTAGTTGAAAACTAGTGGGACTTGGCAAACTAGATTTATTTATGCAAAACTCCACATCAGTTCATACCTCTGACGCTACAATTAAATCACAGATCCTCATAGTTAAAGGGAGCTAAGAAGATTCTCCATGACATCCTTATTGGTGGAGGCAGAGAAGCCCCAGGGTGAGAACAAGAAGCAGATGGGAAAGGATAAAGGACATACTGTCAATTTACATCTTATTACAGCAAGTGAGGCAGAACTGGATAGGACTCATGAAGCCATGGCTAAAACAAAGGATGAGACTGAGAAAGCTACAATGGTGCACGAGAGGTGTGCTTCCAGTGAAGTGTTCTTCTGACAAGGGGTAACCATGTGTTCACAAAATAAATTGGAAGTTGAGCTTACCAATCAGTCATTTTGTGGTCCTTAGTTAGAACAACATGAGACCACATGCTGCTTCACACATGGGGTGGCTGAAACTGATCACCAGAGGGACAGGAAATACCCACAACTGTATCTGTAATTCCAGAGAACCATTTTGACACAGTTTATTCTTCCATACCCCAAATAACTGTTCATCAACACATAACAGCACTTAAAGGCCAAAACAGTGAGGATGCAGCACCCTGGGAATGAAGACTGGATGATATCACTGCACACACAACCTCATGCAGCTGAGGTTCCTAAGGAAAGGGCCACATACACTGGAAGGTGGAGGAAGGAATTACAAGTGCCCACTAGAGCCCTGTGATTAGTTGTTGCAACAGGCAACGTGACCCCAGGAGGTAATCTGACATGTGGAGAGTGGTTGAGGTGGTGCTGATGGCTGCTACTAAAGTTGTCGCTGAGAGAAAAAGAGGTAATACTCAATGGGATAAGAATCTGAGTTTTTTTCCTATTTTGACTCAATGTAGAATTGGACATGATCTTAGAGAGTTCACTTTTTCTCTGTCATCTGTGCTTTCTCTGTTTCTGTATATGGTGGTGTCACAGAAGTTTGAGCATTGCCAGAGGCAGATTTAGCTCTCTTAGATTACATTTATAGAGAATTTTGTTTCTTTTGCAAGACACTGTCTCTTGGGAATCTTTCAAAATGTACCTTTCAGTTTGGCTTAAAGCCCATGAGGGCTTCTTGTGGGCCTTTAAAGTTTGTTTTACTCATAAAAATGCAAAAAAAAAATTAAGTATTTCAGATATAATTCTCAGAAGATAACCATGCTGTTGCCTGATTAATTTATGGGTTCTCCAGCCATTATGCTTCATCATGGCAGTATAAGCACCCTCCTCACAGGATTACTCTACAAGTGTGAAGAGATGATGAAATGACCATCATTGCTCTCGTCACCCTGCTCTTCCCAGTAGTCAGGTGTGATCCGTGAGTGTGAGCACTCTCTCCAGCAGGACTCAGAGACTCCATCCCTGAGAGTCCTGGACAATTATTTTGTCTGTAATGAATTCCTCCTGGATCTGGATTCCCCCAGGTTGCAGGTCCCAGTAGGCCCAGGGATGGGTGAAATGAGCGATGTGAGAGGAGTGGCACAGACATAGGTGGTGTTTACATAGGCTGTCATCTCACATAACTGCAATAACTAAAGGCACAGGACCATGAGTCAGGGCCCTACTGAGCAGCCTGGGTAAGTTAGGCAGGAGAGGGAATGAACGGTTGCCCCTGTGCATATCCAACCAGTGGGTTTTCCTTTAATGAGTCATTGGTGTTCTGCTGGGTAGTTCTTGGGCTATGATTAACTGTGCTCTTCTGCATTGCTCTGACACCAAGACTTTTTGAGAAATTATACTAGTGGTTTGAATGAAATCTGCCAGTTGTACTGTTTTTAATGATTAAGTACGTTTTCCTATGCAATACTTGCTTCTCAGTATTGTACTAAAGCAGTATAGTAACTAGTATGTGAGGTAGGCTTTAAAACAGCAGTTTAATATTCCATGTTTGTTTAACAGAAATGTCCTGTTTTTAAAAAAGCTAAACAGAAATGGTAATAAAGTCATTCTGAGGAAACCAGTATGTTGCTTAATGACAGCGTGTGTCCGTGTTACCCAAGCCTTGTCTGCGAACCACAGCATTGTCATCATCAGGTGTCATCTTAAAATGCACAATCTGAACTAGAGAATAGAATAGATTCAGTGTTGTAACAGATTGCCTGGTGAATGGATGGCCATCACACTTTGTAAGCTCTATCCTAGGTGATTCTTTTGCCCAGTCTGGCTTGAGATCTACTAAGCCAATGAGTGAGGAAGATGATGAAACTAATGGCATCATCAGTGGCAGTGGCTGCCAGGGATGTCTCTGCTTTGTGATTGCCAGCTAGCCTCTTGGCACCAGTGTGGGTCCCACTCCTTGGAGTAAAGGACCTGTTTACTTCTGAAGGAACCACTGAATGGTTCCTCCAGATATTTCCTACAGTGTAATGCCAGAACCTAATGTCCAAGTGTAAAGTGTCAGTGACCTCAATTAAAGACCACCATGGGCCGAGTGGACATGCTGGCACTTGACCCCACTGAGGTGTTTTCAGGAAGGAGCTTCTGACACCTCTTAGTGTCCTTCCTCTGCTTCCTCAGTCAGCTTTCAGACAACATGGAATGTACTTGAGTCAGGGTTGTCTGAAAGGCAGGACCACATCAGATATAATAGATGAAGAAAGATGATAGATCATAGACAAATAGATGATAGAGAACAGATGTTGGCAATTGATGAGAGCTAGAACATGAGGGAGTAGGTGAGGTTGACACTAAGGATTTTAGGCTTCTGCAGTTGTGGGTCCTGGGAAGTCCAAAACGTGCAGTCTAGGCCAGTAGGGAGAAACTGAGGGAGAAGTTAGGTTATGGCTTCAATTGTGAGTGCACAGGCAGCCCAGGACTGGAGTCACTTCTTCAAAGGCCCTCAGTGTCTTAAGGCTTTCAACTGTTCTGCAAGGCTCCTCATATTATCTATGGTAATGTACTTTACTAAGTTCAAATTTGATCTTATAAATTTTATTGTTTTTTTTTAAAGAAAAGGTAAAATGAACAACTAGACTTTATTTGACTAAAATATTGTAACAGGGAATATGCATATGATCCACAGAAGTAACCATTATGTGGAATGTAGACATTCAAGGTAGAATTTAGCAGGTCAGAAATTATACTTCTTTCTGCATGCCCAACATGTTGTATAGTTACCATGCAAGGGTAATGTAGTTAGTTACAGTTCCTACCCTGGAAAGAGAATTTTGTTGAAACAGGAATGAGAGGGGCTTTTATTATGGAATCGTCATCTTATGGATCTGTAAGCTAAACCGCTGCAGTGCCAGCATCTTGTCTGCGCACCAGTTTGAGCCCTGGCTGTACCACTTCTGATCCAGTTCCCTACTTATGACCTTGAAAGCAGCAACAAAGATTGACCCAAGTCCTTGGGACCCTTCATTCACTTGGGAAACCTGGAAAAGCTCCTGGCTCCGGGCTTCGGATCACCTCAGGTTGGCTACTATAGCCTTTTGGGGATTCAATCAGCAGATGGAAGAACTCTGTCTCTCATTCTGTCTCACTATGCGACTCTGTCATTCCAAAAAAAAAAAAAACTCTCAATTTTTGGGGGCACTGCATAATGGCCTAACGCCTTAAGTCATTGCCTTGAACAAGCTCTGATTCCATATGGGTGCCAGTTCTAATCCCAGTGGCTCCACTTCCCATCCAGCTCCCTGCTTGTGGCCTGGGAAAGCAGTGGAGGATGGCCCAAAGCCTTGGCATCCTGCGCCTGCGTGGGAGACCTGGAAGAGCTCCTGGTTCCTGTGTTCAGATTGGCGCAACTTTGACCATTGCAGTCCCTGGGGAAGTGAATCATCAGACAGAAGATCTTCCTCTCTGTCTATCCTCCTCTTTGTATAACTGATTTTGCAATAAAAATGTACTAATTTTTAAAATTGCCTTTAACAAGTGCATTTAAAACTCTCTGCTATTTAATTAAGAGGACAGAGATAATGGGACTGCTGCACCAGGAACTACACAGTTTGAAAACATGGTTTTTTGGAAGAGGATTGTCCTAAAACAAAGATATGAATTGAGAAGCTGTTAAAGTGTCCTGGTAAGTTGTCAGCTTGGTCTGGGATTGTGGTAGTTGCATACAGTGTACGAACCACAATAAGAATTCAGGGTCACATCTGTAGGATGTGCTGGATTGGAGGTGGTGGTGAGAGAAGGAACAAATGAAATTAAAATCAGTAGCTTTTGATTTGATTCTGGATAGCTTCTCCTGAAATATGAGAGCAAAGGAGGAGGAGCCTGGGAGAAGGAACAGGTGAGACCTTGAGTTTCATTTGGGACTTGCTGAGCTCACGATGCCTGTGATCCCATACCTAGCAAGATGATCGTTGAACAGTGGGATCCAGAGTTCTGTGGGAAGAAAGATGTCCATGTGGATATTTAAATGGTCATCTGAACAGTGGAGGAGATAGGGTTATTTGTGGATGTGCATGGTGATAAGAGAATAGTGTTTATGAAAATAAACCCTGAGGGAGATTAACATGTAAGAGACTGACAGAGGTGGAGCTAACCGTATCTTTGAGTATGACTGGTTAGGAGGAATACAAATAGATGTGATACCTCAGACTGAATAGATTGGATTGGTTTTGAAAGAACGGAACAATGTAGCATGTGAAAAAGAAGTGAAGAAAAGATGTAGGTTAGGGATTATAATTGTGTGCAAGAGGAGTAGAGAGATTATTATGATTGCAATGTGGATGAAAGAAGAACATCTTTTAGCAGAGTAGCTGAGTTTGTACCCTAAATTGATTGCTTTTCAAATTCAAGTTTTAAAGAACACTATTATTTCTTCCCAAAGGCATTGTCCACACATCATGTCAGGAAGTAACCAAAGTGTCATTTCAGAGTTCCTCCTCCTGGGCCTCCCCATCCAGCCAGAGTACCAAAACCTGTGCTATGTCCTCTTCCTGGCCATGTACTTGATCACTGTCTTGGGAAACCTCATCATCATCGTCCTCATTATACTGGACTCCCATCTCCACACTCCCATGTATTTGTTTCTCAGCAACTTGTCCTTCTCTGACCTCTGCTTCTCCTCTATCACAATGCCCAAGTTGCTACAGATCATGAACTGTGAAGTCCCATCCATCTCCTATGCAGCATGCCTCACCCAGATGTACTTCTTCCTGTTATTCGGAAGTCTGGAAAATTTCCTCCTTGTGGCCATGGCCTATGACCGCTATGTGGCCATCTGTTTCCCCCTGCACTACACCAGCATCATGAGCCCCATGCTCTGTCTCACCCTCGTGGTGCTGTGTTGGGTGCTGAGCATGTTCCCTCCCCTGTTGCACACCCTGCTCATGGCCAGACTTTCTTTTTGTGCAGACAACGTGATCCACCACTTTTTCTGTGATATATCTGCTCTGCTGAAACTATCTTGCTCTGATACTAGTGTTAATGAATTTTGGGTAGTTTTCATAGGATATATCTTTCTTGTTATCCCATTCCTGCTCATCACCTTGTCCTATGCAGGGATTGTGTCCTCCATCCTCAAGGTCCCTTCTGCACAGGGCATCCGTAAGGCCTTCTCCACTTGTGGCTCACACCTGTCTGTGGTATCTCTGTTCTATGGCACAATTATTGGTCTCTACCTAGTCCCATCAACTGACAATTCTCCTGCAAATGAGACTGTCACAGCCATGATGTACACTGTGGTGACTCCCATGCTGAACCCCTTCATCTACAGCCTGAGGAACCGAGACATCAAGGGAGCCCTGGGAAGAGTTTGTAAAAAGAAAATCTTCTGTCTATGTTGGTAGCCTGGTGGATTCCATCGATAAACATACTTAAATATTGTTACTGGCTTATGCTTCACTGCCATGGGATTTTCTGTTGCAGTTGGGCACTGTGTTGTAGTCTGTTAATAAAGGGGAGGAAGGCGAAGTGACTGTGTCCTTGGACTGGGACGGGGTGTTCCATGACAAGCTAGGAAAGCTTTTCTCTCTGTGAATTTCAGGTCCCATTGAGAAGCCATACCTTACAATCTGTTAACTGAATTTCTGCCACTTGTTATGAAATCCACTAACTTACTATGTATTCTTTTTAAAGTAAAACTGCAGTTTAAATGAGACTCTCTCCTCCCATGACAAATGGACTGAGAGCCATCAGTCCAGTCTCCTGCTGCTTCTAGGCTGGATTTGTTGTTGCTCAGTTATTATCTTTGCTTGTCTCTCTGTAGAGTATTCACATTAGTCTGTCATTCACCTTTTATACTTCTTTTCTCTCTCTCTCTCTCTCTCTCTCTCTCTCTCTCTCTCTCTCTCTCATTATCACCTTTAATGGATCTGAATTTAGAGTTATCTTTGTGTTGTGTGTCATTATAATTATTTGGCTTGGGCCCAGCGCGATAGCGTAGCAGTTAAGGTCCTATCCTTGAATGCGCTGGGATCCCATATAGGCACTGGTTCTAATCCCAGCAGCTCCACTTCCCATCCAGCTCCCTGCCTGTGGCCTGGGAAAGCAGTCGAGCACGGCCCAGAGCATTGGGACCCTGCACTCGCGTGGGAGACCCGGAAAAAGTTCCTGGCTCCTGGTTTCGGATCGGTGCAGCACCCGCTGTTGTGCTCACTTGGGGAGTGAATCATCGGATGTTTGTAAGATCTTCCTCTCTGTACATCTGCCTTTCCAATAAAAACAATTAAATCTTTTTTTTTTCTGGACACAGAATCATTTTATTTTTTTCCTTTTTTTATTGATTACATTGCATTGTGTGAAACAGTTTTATAGGCATTGGGATTCCCCCCTCCCCTCCACAAAACCGATCCCCCCTACCCCGTGATGGATTCCTCCACCTTGTTGCATTACCACAGTTCAAATTCAGTTGAGATTGTTTCATTGCAAGCATCTACAAAGCATAGAATCCAGCATCTTATTGTCCAGATAAGTCAATGGTTTCTTGGGGAGACCATCTCTGGTCTGAAGGCAGAGCTGACAGAGTATCATCCCAATCAATTAAAAGCCCTGACATTACATCAGTAACAATTTATAACGTAATGGAATTATTTGACATGGTATTGAGTAACCAACATGTTAAAAGAGAGAAAAAAAAGAGTGCAAGTTCTGAACCACATCCTATGACTTCTACATTGACATTTCAATTATTAGTTTATATACAACTGGGTTCTATACACCTTAAAATGACTATAGATTGCTATTCAGCTGTCTCATGTCTATTTTAATTTTAGCATTTAGCAGTTTATAGCGTTGAAGCATGATTTTGCAGAACCTGGCTATTTTTCGGGTAGTCTAATGCTATAACTCTAACAAGACATATGTCAACAGTTTAGGTGAAACAGTTTTAGGAGGGGTGTGCAGGTAAATCTTCAATACCCCAGTGAGGAGTAACTAATCTTTGTGTCCTACCAGGTGAGTTATAAGTGCATCCCCACTGCCCGTTTCCTGTCTTTTTCTAAGCTTTCCTTGCTGTTCTCTGTCTATCTATTCTAGTTTTTTTTTTTTTTGGTTTATTTGTTTGTTTGTTAGTTTGTTTTGAGGAGTTTCTGGAGTGATCCTGATGGTCATTATGAGAGAGGGTGGGAACCCAAAGTTGGAACCAGGCAAGGACCAGAGAAAGCTCCTCTCCCTAGTCCTGAAGGAAGTTTACTGTTCTGTTTCTGCAGACCACTCAGTGCTCCTGGCTGTCGTTCCGATGACCTTGGATCCTGCAAGGCAGGATTTGGGCTTCTTCCATCCCATGTGGGAGATCCAAATGGAGGTGGGTGACCTCAGAGTTCTCGGCCTCTGAAGGTACTCCCATTCCCCATGGTTTCCTTGGCAGTTGGGATGTAGTCCTCAGAGCTTATACTGATAGTCCTTGGTGAGGATCTAGGAGTCTTCATGGTTGGGATACAAGCCTCCTCCTGTCTGCCTGCTCCACTCTGGGGTCCCCCCAGCTCTGTGCATATGACCTCCTGGTAAGATGTTGTTGGGATTGTTCCTGATTCCCCCCGTATGCCTTTGTAGTTTTGCTATTGTCTAATGCTGATTTGAGTCTGTTGTCTATGAGTTACTAGTTATGATCCTGATAGGTTATACTTCCCATCTTCCTTACACCTTCTGGGGTGATGTAAGATTTCTCTGCTCTTCTTCCCCATTTCCGAGTAGCATAGGGTCTTACAAGTATATTAGGTTTTACAATTCTTTGATGTAGATCAGAAGCAGTCTGATTGATTCATATCGATTGTTGGTTCATTGGTTACTTCACAATATCTTATTGCATGAGATACAGGCTGTTTGGGGTTGAAATAATATTACTGTTTCGGATTGACATCATTTCATAACAGCCACATCAACAACAACAACATCAACAGCAAATTGTATCACCCTGAAAAATATAACGCGCCACTGAATAACCAACACATGCATGACAAAAAGGAAACACAGAAGTCTCTTGGGAAAAATGATGCCATCATATACTTCATGAGCACATGAGGAATTCTATTAGAGAATAGAGATTATTTGGAAGCAACCAAACTGAAATAAAAACATCAAAACACATGGGATACAGCCAAAAAACAAACAGACAATCAAACAAAAACGGATAGATTGGACTGTTGGAGTTACACTTTCCATATTGGCTTCCTTATATGAGAGAGAATATATGGTATTTGTTCTTTTGTGATTGACTCATTTCACTCAGCATAATGGTTTCTATTTGGGACAACCTGGTTGTCAATAGAACAATTTCATTCTTCTTAATAGCTGAATAGTGGAGTAGATGTACCACAGTTTCTTTAACCACTCTTCCTTGGACGCACATCTGGTTTGTTTCCATGTCTTTGCTATTGTAGATTGTGCTGCTGTAAATATGATAATAATAAAAATAATTTAAAAAAACAAAGTTTGGCTTGTGTTTACTTGAGAAATAAGTCATACCTGGTGCACTTAATGCTGCTTCCACAAGCCTGGGGAGGGAGCCAGAGTCATTAGTTTCATTTTTTGTTAAAAACAAATACATTAATATGATAGGAATAAGGATTGAAGATAGTGATCTTCACAGGTGGGAAAGAGTGATGCATTTTCATTACTATGGCCCGGTTCAGTGAAGGTGTATCTATAATTGTATACCAATTACTGCTCTGACTCTTTGCAGTGTATCAATAAGCTTTACAACATTTTGTGTTACTTCGTTATTGTGACAATTTCATGAGGGTAAGGCAATTTTATCACCATGTTAAAGACTGAATGTTAGCTTGCTGCCTGTTTGAACTCTTAAGCTCACAAATGTTTGCTGTGGGTTATTTATTTATTTATTTATTTATTTTGCATTTCTAACCGGGATATTAGTAAAATGAGTATAAATGAGTTAATCATATTTAAAATTGTAAGACCTGGATGTTGGACCACTTAAAAGGACATCATTAGCAAGTTAAATTTTAAACAGATGGGATCTCAATTCCTGCAGAGTTGGAGCATAGAGGGGTGTGCATTTTATCCCTACAGAAAGTTATATTAAGAGCCATGGAGGATTTTGGGGGAGTAAAACTGTTCTTTTTTATGCTGTAGTCATGACTACATGTCATTATGTATCCGTTCCAGCCCACAAACGTGCAGCACAGATAGAAATCAGATTAGTGGTAGGAGTTGGATTTTTGTGTACAAGTTTTCATACTGAATTGTGAAGTGATAGAATTATTAGAGATTTTGATTGCACGGAAGTCACAGGGATGATTTTATTTTCACATTCGTGAGCTGACCTTTAAAATGGCTGCATTTATTATTATGTAAAATATGTTTCAAGAAACTTATAAAATGAGTGTGTCAGAGTTTGTGTGGACTCTAATCCTTGCTATTACCAGAGAAGGTCAACAATTTGTCAATTAAATGATTTTTTCACTTATCACTTACGCTTTTTTTTTTTTTTTGCTTCTTCAAAGATTTATTTTTATGTGAAAGGCAGGGCTAGAGAGAGGAAGAGAGAAAGAGAGAAGAGATTGATTCCATTCACTGGGTCAATCCCCAGATGGCCTTAACAGCCAAAGCTGAGCTGATCCTAAGCCAGGAGCCAAGAGCTTCTTCTAGATCTCCCATCTGGGCACTGGGCCCAAAGGCTTGAGCCAACATCTTTTGATGAAAAGCTTCATCTTTTTCTCAGGTCATAATCAGGGAACTGGATCAGAGTGGAGCAGCTGGCACTAGAACCGGCACTCATATGGTATGCCACCAGCCTCACTTCCAGTTTTTCAGTTTGCTGCTCCTGATTGATCACGAAGTTAATCACTGTTTCACGTTAATTCTTTTTTTTTTAAAGATTCATTTATTTTTGTTGCAAAGTCAGAAAATACAGAGAGAAGGAGAGACAGAGAGAAAGATCTTCCATCCGATGATTCACTCCCCAAGTGAGCACAACGGCTGGTACTGCACAATCCGAAGCCAGGAGCCAGGAGCTCTTCCTCCAGGTCTTCCACACGGGTGCAGGGTCTCAAGGCTTTGGGCCACCTTAACTGCTTTCCCAGGCCACAAGCAGGCAGCTGGATGGGAAGTGGAGCTGCCGGGATTAGAACCGGCACCCATATGGGATCCCAGCGTGTTCAAGGTGAGGACCTTAACCGCTATGCCACCACGCCGGGCCCCCACATAATTTATTCTTTATGAATTCTCTGCTAATATTCTTTTTCTACTGCTTGTTTTGTTTGTTTTATTTATTTTCTCCTTAAACCATTTTGATTAACATGCAGATTGAGTACCTTTTTATGAGATACAGTGCAATCTTTCAGTGCATATACTGTCCGTAAGTGATGGGACCAGAAAACTGGACTTT